CACACACATACACACACACACATACACACACACACATATACACACACACACACATACACACACATACGCACACATACACACATATATACATATACATATATGAAAATATATTACATAAGTATTTTTATATTACTTTAAAGTGCACATACAAAATGTACGAGATACATAATGTATGTCTCCGATAAACAGACATACAGGCAGATGCCTACACATACACATACACACACACACACACACACACACACACATATATATGATATGCAGATGAATGATTTGGAAAAAAGCTAAGGAGGAGTGGTATGGCAAAGAATAGATGGATGGATGGATGGATGGATGGAAAATCGATAATGTTGAAGGTTTCCAGATGTGAAGCACATTTTTGCGCTGTTACATTGTCACAATTTCACAAATTAGTTCTTACTTCATTGAAGCGACAATATTTCTCTACACCTTAAGGCATTTTTGTAATGTTTACAGCGTATATTATTTGCACTCTCCTATAACGAACCATCAATAAACGTAATAAATACTCTCATCATAAAACCACAACAATCCATTTTTCCATCAATCGGAAATGTGTCAGAGTGTGCATAATTATTGATATATCATCGTGACAAACCATTGTATATTTCATGTTTTTTTTTTTTTTAATTCTAGATTGAACGGTGTAATCAGGAGATTGGGAGAGATTTGTGTGCTTTCTTCTGACAACCTGTATGAAATTTATTCCAAATGTGTATGTAATGTAGCTTATTGTGTAATTAAGGTTAGAGATAAAGATGATGGCGGATGCGGCAACAGCTCATGTGCTATTCGATGAATTTGGACAGCCGTTTATATTGCTACGTGATCAGGAGAAGCAGAAGCGTTTAACTGGTACTGAGGCATTGAAGGTAATTAAAGGAAATTCATCATTTTTGAAATGATAACAAATCTTCTAAATATATTGCGTATTTGTGATGCAAATCTTACCACTGCTCTCACATCATAAATTGTCGAATAACGTCTGATTGTTGTTGCTGATATCTTTACCATTTCCATGGATGTATGGTATTCCTTCAAAGAAGGAAATTAAACTGATTTGAACCATTCATATTTTACTTAAATAGACAGAGTATTATTCTTGATCCTTATTAATAAGAATAATTGAATCCATTTTAGAGTCATATTTTGGCCGCACGTGCGGTAGTGAGCACGTTGAAATCATCCTTGGGACCACTTGGTTTGGATAAGATGCTTGTTTCGGGTGATGGTGACGTGACAATTACGAATGATGGTGCGACAATTATGGAAAAGATGGATGTTGAACATCATGTAGCTCGCCTCATGGTTGAATTATCAAAAAGTCAGGATGACGAAATAGGCGACGGTACAACGGGTGTAGTCGGTAGCGTTTATATTCATCATTTCAGTATTAGTAGTGGAATGTCTTGAAGCAAGATATTTAAATTAAAATTAGAATGTTTGAATCAAGTTTTCAGTGAAACAAGTGACAAGTATATGAATAAAAATGTTTTGTTCTCACTGCTCTTATACGGTCGTAAATGATTACGGCAGGACTATTCAGTCCATATTGCTGAATTTTTTAAATGAGGAAATTCCCTCATTAGTTCATTAAACAGTACGTTGGCATTATGTAACGTTCTTGTCATTTCTTATATTACAGTTTTGGCTGGTGCATTACTGGAACAAGCAGAAGATTTGCTTGATAAAGGCATCCATCCGATTAAAATAGCAGATGGATTTGATATGGCATGCAAGAAGGCATTGGCAACATTGGAAAATATTGCACAATCATTTCCCATACATAATCGTGAACTGCTTATTGAATCAGCTATTACTGCTTTGGGTTCAAAAATGTAAATTTAATGTCTTAATAGAACATATTCTTGAAGTGCTACTTACGGTTCAGAAATTTGGAAGTGATATTTCATCTTTTTTTTGCAAGAGGAATGCCTATGAAATATTGCAAGTGCTGAGGATTATTATTTTTCTGAAAAGCTTTCTTTTTTCCTCAAAAATTTTTGCTGCTTCTTTTATTGTCAGATATTCAAATCTATTAGCACAGTATTTTGATTTCAGCGTCAATCGTTGCATGCGACGACTTGCGGAAATTGCCGTTGATGCTGTATTGTCAGTAGCAGATTTAGAAAAGAAAGATGTCGATTTTGAACTAATCAAAATTGAAGGAAAAGTAGGAGGTCGATTGGAAGATACATGCTTGGTGAAGGGAGTTGTTATTGATAAAACGATGAGCCATCCTCAGATGCCAAAGGTTGCTGTATATATACATATCATTCTCAGCAGTGAATAATAAATTTTTTATAATTTTATTGTCGCAGCTGTTAAGATTTTGACTTTAAAAGTAATAGTCGAAGAATATAATTATCTTCATTGCAGGAACTAACTGATGCAAAAATTGCAATACTTACTTGTCCATTTGAACCACCGAAGCCGAAAACAAAGCACAAGCTCGACATTACTTCAACTGCAGATTTTCAAAGTCTACGAGAATATGAGCGGATAACTTTCGAAAAAATGATAGGCCAAGTGATTTTTTAAAAATATTTAATTCATCTGCTTTATTTTTTTCCCTTTTCTTTAAAAAGAGTTTATTTTATCGGAGCGATTTCACTTACCTCGACTTTATCTGACGTTTCTAGTTTTTTTTTCTTTGGACATTGCAATAGTTTTTAATTTAACTTCAGGTCAAAGAGAGTGGTGCTACTTTAGCAATTTGCCAGTGGGGCTTCGATGACGAAGCCAATCATCTTCTACTTGCTCACAATCTTCCAGCAGTTCGGTGGGTTGGTGGACCCGAAATTGAATTAATTGCTATTGCAACTGATGGCCGCATTGTTCCACGTTTTGCGGAACTTAAACCTGAAAAACTAGGAAAAGCTGGAAGAGTTCGAGAGATGGCATTCGGAACTGCTAAGGCAAATTTTATTTCATGTTATGTTGCCATTTACAGTGAACAGGAAATATTTTGCATTGAAATTGTGATTGGAAGTACATTTATTGTGCATGCATTGCGAGCAGCACATAACCGCATGGTTTTCCTCGTCCTCTGATGGATGTCAACCATCTTTTCTATTCTGTTTTTTTGATTAAATACGGAACTGGTTGAAATGTTAAAATTAAAATCAGCTATCAACAAACAATATCTTCATTTCATCATTACTGTCTCCGTGACTAAAGTATTCAGGTTGATGACAATCAATGAAGGATGGTTAGCTAAAGACAATATTTATAGGATCGTATGCTCTGTATCGAAGAATGCCCTAATAATCGCGCCGTTACGGTTTTTATTCGAGGTGGTAACAAATTGATGATTGAGGAATCAAAACGGTGTTTGCATGATGCTCTTTGTGTTGTTCGCAATTTGATCAGAGATAATCGAATTGTTTACGGTGGTGGAGCGGCAGAAATTTCTTGTTCTCTTGCTGTCGCAGAAGAAGCAGATAAAGTAATTCTGTTGCAGTTTAAACCATTTGGAAGTATCTTCTCTCTGTTTCTTTCTTCAGCTTTCTGAATTTTAAATACTCTCAGGTTGCTTGCAAAATCGGTTTAATATTTAGATTGAGAGTATTGAGCAGTATGCTTTTCGGGCTTTTGCGGATGCTCTGGAAAGTATTCCTATGGCATTGGCTGAAAATTCAGGCCTTTCTTCAATCGATACAGTAACAGATATCAAGGCAAAGCAGATCCAACAGTCTAATCCAAGACTGGGCGTCGATTGTCTATCTGTTGGCACTAACGGTAAGTAGTTTTGAAGTCGGTTTTTTTTTCAAAACGATTAAAATAATGAAGTGGAGGACTTTATTGTGAAATAGTGTTGAGATGCTTTTTTAAAAAAATGCTTGGCTATTTTATAAACCGTTGTTCTCGATAGTATCAAGCACATAAGTTAATAAACAGAATCAAGACGAAATTTCATCGAGTAGCGATGTTTTAAAATCAAAAAGTGGGAAATTCTAATGTGATCTCATGTTGCACTTATTTGTGAAAAGTAATTTGAAAAAAGCTTTTGCGTTATGCAGACATGGGGAAATATTTATGTTTGTTTTTCAGATATGGAAAAACAAAAGGTAATGGAGACATTGTTATCGAAAAAAGCACAAATATCTCTTGCGACACAGGTTTGTTTATTTAGATTTCATTTATCTTTTTTATTTCTTTTTTTATTTCGTTGTTAAGGGTTCCAAAAAAAAATTGAAGTTTTGAAATTCATTTGTTATTGTTTGTGCTGCCTTTATTGTTTATGTTGGTTACAGATAACTTAATTTAACGTATGAAAAATTTTACAGGTAGTACGTATGATCCTGAAAATCGATGATGTCCGAGTTCCGGAGTCCGAAGAACAGAGAATGTGATTTATTACTAAATGCTTGAATTGTTTTGTTGCTCGCTAATATTGGAAATAAATTTCTTAATCAAGTTCTTAGATTTCAAAATCATGCCGTTTATTCGGCTTTTAGTATGTTAATCACTGTTAAAATTATCTATTGATGTAACTGAACGATTGAGAAAAGGATAAAAATGGAAGTTAATCTCCCCAGAATTTTTTGTGTAATCAAAAAGGGAATACATGATTTAGTTGAATATCATGACGGTTGATGGCGATGTACTAAATAATCAAAGGGGAATGAATAATGAACGAAATAGCCGTAGGCGCAATATACGTGGTTTTTTATGTACATATGTTTTTCTATCAAGTAAAATTGGTAGACTTATGTTGAAATTTTATAATTTAATGAAAAATAGCTGGCTGCTTCCTATTTCCAGGAATTTCCTTTTTCACATGCCTTTTAATCATTGTGTAGAAATGGCAATAAATAGGATAACCATCAATTAGAGGACGAGTTAGGAAGATTTCGACTTGTCTTACTGTAGATGTTTGTGGAATGATATTTATACGGTTACAGTTATTAAGATTTTGGAAATCCGTGGAAGTTCTTATAAAGTTTAGAGTTTATGAGGTGTTAGAGTAGTACTGCACAATAGGTTACTAGCATGGATGATTTCCTGAAAGGTTCTCAATTCAGCTATCTTCAAGTTCAAATAATCAGAAGGTATTGAACAGGTTACTGTCTTCTAAATATGGACTGTAAGGATTGCTTTGGGTGCACACTGAATACATCGGGTTGTCAGATCATGGGAATGTCATGTGGATTCCTTGCTTTCGTACTTTTTCTTCTACGGTTTGAAAAAGTAATAGAACTGGGGAGGAATATTTGGCTCTTTTCGTAGTTGCTTTCATGATTTTAATGATAGTTTAGTTTTTAAATAAAGAATAGATACGATTCGGTTGGTGCGGTGACACGACATATTCGGATTTGTTTTTCCATCACATTGGATGAGATGAAGCGAAAACCACTGATTGTATAAATGAAATGATGCGTTAAAAATGCTTGAAAAGGACTTGGCGTAAAACCACATTACAGAATGGATTCCATTTTCTAGTTGAGGGAAGAAAGAAAAGAAGATTGGGAGGAAAATGATGTACGCTACTTTTTACAATTTTATGGAGTTCAATAAGTTGAAGTTAAATTTCCAGTGGTATTTAATTGCTCATGTACAAGGCTGAAAATGTACTCTTTTTTTACATTTTCTAATTTAGCTTGTTCTATTTTTGGGTATTACAGATGTAAATTAAGACACTAATTTTGGGAGTAGAAATTTTGCGATTAGCTCATTTGGAAAAGCATCTATCGGAATGATGTTTCATCATCATCAATAATTTTCATGTTATAATAGTTATTTGACTATTTCGTACCTGAAATAAAAGTTTAGCAGATTAAAAGTATAATGATTTTTTTGTCATTTTTTTGAACTGCGTATTATTACGATCATTTTCTTAAATAAATTTAAATCTTGTAAGTATTGTTAAGGAAAGAAAAAAAAGCATACCATGGATTCAATTCGAATATTTAACAACAATATTGAGAATTGAATAATATTCAAGTATTATTACGAAAAAAATGCTATGGATTTCGTTTCAAATATATAACAACATTATGGAGGTTGTATAATATCCAAGAAGACGACATATTTGGGAAATTTTAAGCAAGTCGAAAAATTGTAAGTTGTTAAAAATATTTATACTTGGATATGACATGATTTTGATGACAAGTACTATTTTCTTTAAAATGTGGATGTCCGACTCATATTATTTGCCGAATAGTACCCCCACGATGTGATTGAATAGATGGAAGTTCATGCAGTATTTAAAAGATATTGCTTTATATAGGACATGTTGGATGAATTTTGTTAGTCATTGTTATTCACGAAGAATCTTAGTTCTCTTAATTTTGTTTTTAAAGTTCTCCTAATTTTGATTTCCCTTCTATCCTTGCTTACTTTTTCAACTTAATTACAATGAATTAGGATATTTCATTGTCATATTGTTACTGTAGTAAACTGTTTTTTTCTGAATTTTCAGTTACTGATTACCGAATTATCAATTCAAAAAAGATTCATCGTAGCGACAAGTACATCCAACAATGTTACTACAACTTACGCAAGTGGACCAATGGTTTGTCTTTTGATTTAATTTCATTTTTCACTAGAAAAGGCAATAATAATATTTCAAACGATTAGATGCTTTATATTATGCAATACTTTAGGGACTATTTTGGTGATGGAATAAGTTTTTTTGTATATTATATATTTCAGTTTGCTGTCTTTAACGATAATCTCGAAGGTGATGAATGAACGAATTTTAGTAAATTTAACAAATATGTTGTGAAATTTTATCAAAGAATTGCAGCATGAAATGCCCCTATATCATTTATGTCCACTTAGATAAGATTTTTTTCTTCTAACCATAAATTTATTTTTCCCTCGAATTATTTGTAACTTAAGTTCATTGATGTTGTTTATGGATGAAGAACTCTGTTACCATTTGAGTTCATGAAAATGGAAAGTGTAGTGCAGCGGGAAGATCCATCAGTAGATGTGGTTACTTTGGAAACTCCCAATTTGGTATCACTAATTGGTACCAATTCAGCTACATTACCTCGTAAGTTCTCTATTCTCGAAAAATAGACGTATCATTAAATTAGCACGTATTATGTAGTCCAAAGAATTGACATAATTGTTTTCCGCATGATCAATTTCTTCAGTGCTATGATTGCATTGTTTAGCAAAAATCGTCATTTTGTACTTTTATCACTAGAATATCCTTTGCTGCTAATATTATGTGTTACTGATATTTTTTATATAAATGGATTTATCGATTAATTCAAAATTCATTTTTTCGATTACTACTTTTGATAAAATAAAGTTTGCATACTTATAGAATGAAACATAAAACATAGTCAGTCTAGTTGCGTGGTACAGTTTGTAATCAATTTTCATGAACATATTTGTTTCTGTTGTGCAATAGTTATATTTTCATAATTTTCTCATAAGAGCGTTATTGAAGCGATGTATGCTTAATTATTTTCACGTATTGTAGCGGATTTTCCATCAACAGCTGAATTGATGCAGAAATGTCTTACGGTTAACCCATTCGAATTGAAATTTCGTGAAGCAAATCGACGTATCAGTCAGTGCAGTGAAGAACTTCTTGAACAGGTTTATCATTTTTATGATTTTGATCTCCAATACATTAAGCTATTTTAACTTAAGATGGTGAAGTATTGAGAAGACGAAGAGTCATGAAAATATGGAACACATTATTGTGCTTGACTTTGTTCAATGTAAAAAATTATCATTCTAGCTAAATTACTTTTTTTTGTTCGCAGAATGGACTTGTTCCGGTGACGCTGTCATTACCAACAAGTGGCGGCATAACCTTGCTGAAATTGCCATCATCTTTGGCCCATTCTCCTGGTATCTTCTCAAATATCAATGTTCTTTCAGCGGATTTCGAAAGTGATGGGTTAAAAAGTGCTGACTTATCGCGTCTAGTGCAACAGGTAAAATTATTTTTGGTATAGGTGACGAACAGACGAAAATAAGATGGTATATGAAATAAAAGAGTAAAAAAAATTAAGGAATTTTCAGATGAAAGATAATGGCGGTTTATCAACGCAGAACTCACGAACTGGCGAAGACACCGGACAGGCACCTCGAACCGCTGATGTACTTAATGCTGTTCTTGATATGCATTCTGATAGGTTGGGGACGCTTGGCTTTCTTGGTACAACTGTCACTGCCACGCCGCCTTTGGTATGTTTCACACCATTACTTCATAGCATGAATAAAAGATTATAGCTGATTGTTTACCGTATAACTTAATTTCCATTTCTGTAGCTACCAAATTGCGTCTCATAGAATGGGTTAGAGTCTTCAAAGTTAGGAAATTTCATATTTTTTTGGCTTCAGATTTGTTCACAGATTTGCTTTGAAATGACGCTAACTTTGGAACAGTTTATTTCAACAATTGATCAAATGGATTATAATGTATCAATTTCTGTTTTCAGAAAGGACCATTGGGATCAATCTTACCGACATCCTCATCTGTTCCTGTAGCTCTTTGTTCTGATCCGCCTATAATAGCGTCATCGACATCGTGTACTGCAAATGTTGGTGGTCCTGAATGTACATCCACTTTGCTATCATGTTCGCCGTGTTCCTCGGAATCAGCTTCTTTAACACCGCTAATTTCTGCTATAAATAGTCCTGTTATCAACGCACCAGGGAATATTTCAAGACCTGGAAGTTCTGCATCAGCTCAAACGCCGTATGTACACGTGATTTGACTTGTTCACGTTTTGTTTTCGTGTGATCTGAGTTGCATATAACTGTTTTTTTGTTTTTCAGTAAAAAGAGATTATCAGTACGGGCAGCAGCAGCTGCTGCGGCGGTAGCTGCACCAGTAAGTGTTGCGCCAGTAGTGTCAGCACCTTTTCTAGGTGTTGTTGGATCAGTAAGTTTTTTAACTTCAAATGCAGTGAAAATTATTGTAACGATTTGAGTCGAATGAACAGGAAATTGAACAACAGATTTGGATAGTCTCGAGAAAATGTACTTTGAATTGAAGAAGATAGTACTATAAACACGACAGGAATTTTCTAAATTTCAATATTTATCACAAATTAATCTACAGTGTTGCATAAGAGGTTGAAATAATGTTTGATTTCTTTTAAAGTTATTGTCAAGTGTCAAAATTTTTTTTTTGAGATGATTATTAAATTAATTTCGAATTAAGGTGAGTTTTTACAGCTTTTGCCAGCAACGAACATTGAGGAGCGAAGTGATGTATCGCAAATTTCGAATTCGCAGTTATCACCGACTGATCATTGGGATTCTCGTGATGTGAAACCAGTGATTGTTGGAAAAAATCCATCATCATTACAGGTTTTTTACAAAATATTTATTAGGAAGAAAGCTTTTTTCTTGTTTTCATTTATCAGTTTGACAATTTTTAAACGGTAATTAGTTCTGATGATTTTCTTTCATCCGTAAATAAGAATATCTTGTTCATAATCACTGATTTATAGAATCAGCAATATTTTGATCACGAGGAGGTCATTTATCCGCGGGATGAACAGCGTAAACACGCGGAAACATTGGCATCAACACCAAGGAGGTTTGTTTTCTGTTAATCAGGTTATTCGAAGCAGTTTGCCACTCATCGCTCTACTATGCTTGTTAAACATACTTTGCATTTCAAATTCGTAAGTTAGTGAAATTGTTCTTTATTTTTACTGTTTTGGAGTGAGCTGAGTTTATTTTTCAAGTTTCTTTGAATTTGTATAACTCTTTGTTAGCATTTTATTAGATTAATAAATATTTATGATTTAGAACTTAACATGGTAAAATTACAGCAAAGAAGGTGGTATATCTCGTTCTGCAACTACTTCAACATCATCACATCGTGGTGGACGAGGACGTGGTCGTAGTTCTCTAACTGCCGATTTACCACCCGATGAGCGTCGTGTTACAATTCTGGAAAGGAATAAAGCAGCTGCCGTGCGGTATCGGAAACGAAAAAAGGAAGAACATGATGAAATGATTACACGTGTTCATTTATTAGAACAAGAAAAAGTGGCACTCTCCGTAAGTCGACATATGAGTGTTTCTTTCATCGAGATATGAGGCCGAGAAGCAGGTTTGATAAATGAACAGAGCTGATGAAAAATTAGTAAAAAAAATGCTTCATGATTTTTATCACTGAGGATGAATTTCCAACTTGAAAGTAAACTTATGCTTTAGAGAATGAAACAAGAGATTCGATATACTTTCTTTTAGTGTAGGATTCTAACCTAGGAGTAAATGGTTCTTGCTAATTTTTTAATTCGTGCTTTCATTAAAAATGTATCGTAAGCAAATTTAGTAATTTCTTAACTGGAGAGTTTAGTAAACTTCTTGCAGACTCAGAATCAAGTACTGCGTCGCGAACTGGAAAGAGTTACAGCTTTACTGAAAACGCGTGAAGCATGCTGTGTTTGCCACTTGAGCGGTATGGGGGAATGTTTGCGGAATGAATCACCGCTAGAAGTAGACGTTCTTTCTCCTCAAACTCAGCCGCATCATGATCTCTCCAATTATATATCACAGCAATTGGTTACATCAGTTAGTTCTAACAAGAAGCCGACAAAATGATTCATAGAGTTTTTATTGCACTATTTCCTAAAACATACTCAGATCTGGCGACATATATGTTTTTAGCTTTTATCCGTGAGCTTTGTTTTTCACTTTTTTAAATTGAAACGGTAACGTTAACCATTGTCATCCGGTCTTTTAATGCATTGATATTTCTTTTCCAGAATACTTATTGATTTGCTCAGTATGCTTATGAATATTTTGAGCGAAGCTACATATTAAGTATTCTGGACGGAATATAATGTATGAAAGACAGAAGTAAACTTCACGCAATGCAGTTGACTTCTTTTACTTTCGATTTATCAGTGGGAAAAATTTTAATTTGGCAACTTGTTTTTTGGGACTGTACTACTTTTTTTCTAACGGCTAAATCATGGAAATATGTAGAATCTGCAAGAATGACATGTAAAATGTATGAGAATGTAAAGTGTTGTTTGAAACAGTTGGTTGTTCCTTATGATAACGAACATTTGACGCTTTACTGTTCTAATTTTTTGGATGGAAAGTTTCAGAACTGGAATTTCACCGGTTTATATTTGTTACCTATAAGAGATTGCTTCGTGCAGTTTTTGTTTGCACTTGTTCTTCTTGTATTTATATGGTATATGTTAGTTGCTAACACATTGAGTGTTT